ACTTTTCAGAAGGCCTTGAAAATGTGGCTTTATGCTCGGACCTCTGGCCCCAAGTGTGCAAAGGGCCCTGTTTCATGGTTGTGCTGACACCAACTGTTTTTTAAGATCTCTTGGCTATATTTATATTTAATGTTCTGTATTGTTTTAAGTGTTTGATTGTTATTATTGTTAGCTGCCCAGAGTCATTGGTCTGAGATGGGCGGCTATATAAATTGAATCAATCAATCAATCAATAAATCCACAACTTCCTCACAACTAGACACTGCAGCAATTGAGAAGAATGTGCTCCCACTTACGGGAAGGCTTCTGCGCATGTTTATTGAATATGCTTACAACTCTCCTGCCAACCTTTGCATTCTCTGTGCAAAAACCTGAATAAGCAGCAGCTAGATGGCCAGGAATGCCCAGCAATTTCCCTTCAAAGAAGGCTGTCTTCTTGATCCTTACTTATTTAAATTATTGGCTCACAATGGGAAAAAAGGCAACATAAAGTTACAGGGGAAGAGTATGTTGCAAAGGAGGTTTTAAAGAAAAAAACTACAGAAAACATGCCGTGGGCAGCATACAGTAACTACAATCATTGAGTATATTAATTCAGCATATTTTGATGACACATTTTCTTTTTGATTGTTGAAGCTGTTAGGCTAGTGTTGTTTAAAACTACTCGTGCAGTCCCTGTTCATTGGATAAGACAGCATTCTGTTGTCATTTTGCTGTCCATAGAAGACAAATAACTTAGTGGAAACCTTACTATACTGCATTCCATTTTGACAAATTAATTTGTTGTAACATAGGGAGAAAAGAGCAATTAAATCAGAGTTCAAAGTACATGTGATCAGGCTTAACATACTTGCTTCCTGAAATAATTTGGAATACAGTATAAAATAACTTGTAATACAACAGTACATAATAAGTTATACAAAGTATTAAAAATACTAGCCACTTAAAAAACAATGTAATGTAGCATGATAAATTGTTTATTAAATCCATGGGGTTTTTTTCCTGAAGGCTTCAATTGACTGAATGATATGCCAGTTCATTTCTATAGTGCCACAATGCATTTTCTTTCACACAGAATAATACTATTATTCTTCTGTTTATGTGATAAACAATATCAATTTTTATATTCAAAAACTGACATTTAAAGATCACACATTTACACAAACTTTTTTCTCTAAAAAGTCAAAGAAAAAAGTATGCATTAGACCTTAGTGTCCAACAACTCAATCTTTAAAATGAAGTATATCATGCTAATTTCCACTTTTTAAAATGCTCAAGCCCTTTAAAATGCCTAAGCCCTGTAAGCTAACCTGAGATTCATGGGTACATTCCCTATTTTCTGGATAACTAGTTAAGGAAACAAGTCAATCCTAAGAGAGGTGTTTTGTAGCAATTATCTTCCTGGAATTTTTACATGGAATGTTAGTCTGTTCCAAAAAAGATGTTACCAAGCTCAGGTGAATGAGCCTTTCATATCTTTTCTAGACCTGATTAGTTTGAGCCTTGGCTCTGTAATATTGGTAAGTTCCATTTCAAGAAAGTGGTAAGTTCCATTTCAAGATAGAGTGGACATTTTAGTGGTCATTAAAGAATGTGACCACTATTGCCTGAGAAATTCAGTTCTCTCCCTCTCTTTTTAGTAAATCCCAGTTGTATGATTCTTACTTGAACATTTCCAAATCTGTGCAAAGGAGATTCAACTCAGGAAACATGTATTTCACACCATATTATACCCACTGAAATAGCTTTAAAAATTTAAAAAGATCCTCTTATGCAACTATATAAATATGTGATGCTTTGAAAGGAGAAATATCTTTTGCAAATTTTGAATTTCTTCTTTCCTTTGGTATTTTATTTTTTAAAAATTGAATTTCAGGATAATCAGTGGTTTCTAGTAGCCTGAACTTAACTTTCACTGCCTTATTAAGTTGAACCATGTGAAATGTTATATGCTACCAATAATAAGATTTTTGGCTTTTACAGACTCTAATATGGTTAGAAAAATTATAATGCAAATCATCGGATTTGATAATTCTTTTAACATTAGTTAATGAAATATTAATAACCAATATTCCTGTTTAAAAAACCCACTCCTATTCGTATCATATAAGCATAAAAAGAAGTGTTCAGTCATAGCAAAATCTTTATAAACTACATATTTGCAATAAAGGAACAGTGGAAGTATAATTCATGCATGAGATGTACTTCCTGTTTTTCATGGCAGGTGTGACGTTAGGAAAGGAACTTGCACTGCAGAAACATGCAAACTATCCTTTTATTTAAAATCTGCATATCCTTCCCATGCATGTTTTTTTTTTCAAAGCTTACACCAGCTGCGTAAAAATAAGAAGTAAACTATTTCATTTTTTCAGGAATCATGGTTATACACAAAGCTATTCTTACTATGCTGAATCATGTATATTGTCTCATACAGAAAACAAGTACTTTCACTGTGAACAGTCTCTGTTAAAGTAGCATACAAAATGTCTCATTTGCTTCACTCATGGATGTGTATATAGCTTGTCTTTTTTCCTGCTTGGATTATTTGAGTTGTATTTTAATGATGTATCATTATCTGGTTTTCAAAAAATCTCAAGTTACAAAGATGTGCTAAACAGTGACCCAATCTACTTTTTCTGTATTTCTTCAGCACTTACCTGAATTAAAGAATTTGTATTCTTTTACCTTTTTCCTAAAATGAAACTTTAAAATGTTTCATCTAAAAGCCAAATTGTTTTAAGAATATACATTTTTATACTGTATTTCTCAAAAACCAATATTTTAAGAAACAAAATTTTGGACAAGTTATCGCAATATTAAATATTAACATTAGTATTTACTATATTAAATAGTAAATAATGTTCTTATATTAATCTGTAAAGCTGGCTTCTATATTAGGAAAGAAGGATAACTTTTCTTAAAAATTGAGAATTGATACATTTACCAGTTATGGATTTAATTGCCAATGTTCTTATTAATATTTTTAAACAGAGTATTAAGAAATTAATTGATACAACATGCCCATTATGTTATTACAGGGTTTCCCATTTTACAATGTATATATTACAATGCAACTCTCTATGTCTTCAAGTGGTTAAGCTCAAGGCCATATACTGGACTGAAGCCATTGCATATTTATAAAATTATGTATTTTATATCAATTAGCAGTGAACTATTTTTGAAATGGCAACAGTACTAGAAAATATAACGTACCTTAGAAGGAACAGTTACAGCAGTATTTCTGAACATCATAAGAATTTTTCTTCCTTCTTATATAAATACAAAGTTATTTTTTTTCAGTTATAATCCATTTAACTGAAAATCTACTATGCAAGATACAACTTCATATTTAAAAGTTCAGAGAAGAAGACACTTGAGAATGCACAATCCAATCATATGCACAGAATAAACTCAGTATTCCTTAGAACTTACACATGTGTAGATATGCACAGAACTGCAGTCTTACTGTGCAAGTTAATTAAAAAAACATGATGGTACATAAGATAAAGCCAAATCACCAAAACTGCAGAGACGCTTCCTTCATTTGCTAATAGATAATCATTTCATGTGGTCAGTTTTTCAAATTACAAGAATCTTTCATAATCAGTTTATTAGCTATGAGGCTTTTCTAGCAACTGACTATGTTCCCTTGAGTTAGTTATAATGTAATATTATAATCTTTAATCTTATCAGTGTAAGATTAAATATCAACCTTAAAATGAGCAACGTAAGTTATGGATCAATCAAAAGAAATTTTGTGCTAACTCATAACCTCTTTCAAATACAAGTACTGCTAACAAAATTGGCTAAGCACAGTTAAATATATTTGAAAGCAATACAGTAACACTGTGCCTGAGGTCTTTTTAGAATTGTATTTTAATTTTTCCACAGTCTCTATGCCATTTTCTTAAGAAAATGACAAGTTGGCACACCTTTCCCAATGTCTGTTCCTTAGGCCTTTGTCTTTCCTGCCATTTCCAAAAATATGAAACCTTTATTGGTGTCCTGTTTGTCAAAACAAAATGGGCTGTGCTCATGTCAGTCTGCTGAGTTTTTGTGAATAGCTCAAAAGCCATGTTATAGAAGAAACTTCACACAACAGTTCCTCCTCCTTTATATCAGCGTATATTGGAATGAAAAAAGTAATATCGAGTTAGTTTCAAGAGTTCACATAGCTCCAAATTAATCTAGCTTGTATTCTTTGTGAGAATCTGTAGACCTCATTTTGAAAATTCATACTAAGTTTGTCCTGAGCAATAAAAGGTATCAGATGGTGCACAGTTACAAAGTCCTTTAAAAGTTTAGTTTGGCTTAGAGAATGCAGTTTTGTTTTGCAATTTATCAACTCAAGCAATGTAACATGAAGATCACCAAGAAATTCTCCATTTAGGCTGGCAATATCACCATATACAGATTATATTTGCTGCAACAAACTAACGTGGCTATTCCTCTGAGGATATGGGTTTTAATTAGGTGAGTCAGTTATATTCATCTTTGAAGACTGCATAGTCCTGACCAAATTACTCAGATACCATTCCCGTAAGCGCGACGCTGGAAAACGGCCACCTAACAGGATACCAGGGTTCTTTATTACAGCTGCAGGATGCTCGTGCAGAAAGCCTCCCCTCGCGCAGCGCCTTAAGTCTTACCTGTTCTTTGGAAATGCAAGGCAACGAAGGTCTCCTGGACATTTTGCAGCTGCCATAGTAAGTGGCAGAAGTCTCCCCCAAGGACACGCAACTGGATCTTCTCCTGGGTCGGATCACAGGAACTTTGTGCTCTGCGCTGCTGGGCAACTTCGGATGCGAACACCGGCGGTGCTGCTGTGAACACCGACCCAGAGGGGAGCGAGAAGAGAATATGCAGCACTCTCCTCCCAGCAGCGCCAACAAGCATCCCGCCGTCCCGGCGAAGCAGGACAGGAGCGGTCTAAGGGGCGGAGGCAGAGAACCCAGACTGGTGAGCGACACCAGCCACACGAAGCTGGAGAAAACCAAAACCAGGAGGCTGCTCCGGAGTTTGAGGCTCCGCTGCAAAAGGGTCAGCCCGGCCACAGTGCCAAGCGTGGCCAACAACCGCCCCGCCATCATCTGCAATTCGGCTGGTGGGGCTTGGGGGACGCCCCCCTCTGCTTTGGCCTGGTGGGACAGCAGGAGCCACTGCAGCGCCACCAAGTCCCCCGCGTAGCAACAAACCGGCAGCGCCAGGACCCACCAGAGGCCGCCGGGCTCGTCCCGGGCCAGGTAGCAGGTGAGGAAGAAAAAGGCACAGGCAAGACTGAAGAGGGGGCTCAGGCACTGGCAAAGCCCGAGCAGCGCCAACAGCCCGGTTGCTTCGTGGCGGCTTGCAGCTGCGCCCGCTTTCCTTTCACGCTCTCCCCAGAGCAAGGACCACGCCAGGAGCGCCAAGGCAACGGCCGCGGCGCCCAGCCCCAAGACCAGAGCGCGGGGCGAGGCGGCCGGGAGCAGCGCACGGAAGTCCAGCGTGGGGCTCCGGGGCAGGGGAGTCGCGCATCCCTTCGCGTAGCCGTTCCGCAGGTTGGGCTCCGCAGAGCCGCGAGCCGGAGGCTGCTGGCTGACAAGTTTCTTGAGCCCGCGGTGGAGGGGAGCGGAGGCGGCGGCTTCTTTCTCATCCCTCATGGTGGTCGCGCGGGAACAGGCTCCAGGAGGAGGCGGCGGCGGCGGAGAAGAAAGAGGAGAAGCGGGAGTTCGTCAGCTTCTCCTACCTCCTGACCCTGCCTTCTTCATCTTTTCCCAAGAGAGGAAAACCAGGGAAAAGCCAGCAATAACGAGCCTCGCTCCTGAAGCGAAAACGGCGGCGGGATCGCAGAGTCCAGACTCGGAGCATGGTGGGTAAAAGACGGAGGGAGGGAGAAAGAGACGGAGAGAGCGAGAGAAAGGTAGAAGTACCTCTTTCCCTTTTTCCCCCGCTCGCTCTCGGAGGGAACGCGCTGTCGCCTCCCAGAGTTCCACGGCGGCAAGGTCCGCACGCGCTCTCCCAAAACACACCCTCCGGTGACGGCACTCTTCTTTTTTTGCCCGCCGCCCGCCCTGCAGGGCACACGTCATAGAGTGCGAAAGGGCAGGCGATCGGAGAAGCCCCGGAGATGTGTGTGTGTGTTTGTCCCCAAAAGAAAGGGGAGGAGTGAAAGGGTTAGCAGCAGAGTCCTGTATGACTGCTGAGAAATAAGTTCCATCGAGGTCGCGGAAGTTTAATCCTTAACTGAGAATTAAATCTGCTGTCTGAGGTGCGGGTTGGCCCTTCTACAGTCTTGGGACAAGACGAGAGCTTGGCTTTCAACGACCCGCTCTGGCGACCGCTTCCGATTCCCACCCTTTCCTCTGATTCTTGCGAATTCGCAAGAATTCTCTCTCCCCGCTTTCCCCTGAGCTACGCTAGGACTCTCTGTCTTAATGCTGAATTCAAATCATATCAAATTTATTGTTACGATCAAAGATCGGTAATACTAAAAGGGATGGCCCCCACTCTGCTGTTGTTTGGAAGGCTCTTCACCCAGACTTTTGGCAAGCGGAGAATGAGACCTCTCACTTCATTATGCTTGCCATCTTTCATCATTTATCTTTTACTGATTTTAATTTCTTTGATTGTTGTGAGCCGCCCAGGGTCACTGAGAGTTGGGCAGTGTACCAGTTTAATAAATGATTATTAAACAAGGATAAAATTAATAAAATTAGTAAAATTAATATTAACAAAATAGTAAAATTAATAAAATAGCTCTGGGCTGAAACGTTTATCACATTTGTTCCAAAATGTTGCCCTGTTTTCACACAGAATTTGGCTACTGTGTGGGTAATAGCATTGTTGGAATCTGAGAAGGTTGACATGGTATTCTGCCCTTCCTGGGAGGACAGGTAATCCCTATAGAGAGCCATGTGAAAATTGCAGCGGAACAGCACATATTAGATAGTTTCTATATCTCCAGAGTCACAAGGGCAGATATATTCTTTTAATAGGATTGTAGTAAAACTGCCCTGGAATAGTGCCGATGGTGGCAACATTGTCTAGCTCTGAAGAAATCCTTCCTCAGCCTGGGGAAGGTCAGTGTACATAGATAACTTGCAGGTTGCCAGAAGCCTTTCATTATCCAGGTTCTGGTATTTTGGGAGAGGGTGCTAGCTTCAGTGTGATATTCAGTGTCAATCCAGCCTTTTTTGCCTGGTCAAAGTCAGAAGCTAAAAGTGAATCTGTGGCCAGCCCAGAGCCCCTCAATTTCTGGTTCACTATGATAATCATGGTGATGGATGCTCATCCAAAAATATTAGGGGAACCAGGCCATTAGGGAAGTGTGTAATCTGAGGCCAACGTATCAAGGCTAAGTGCCATACTCTTGCTACTATTTTGGGCATTCCCATCTCAAGCCTGAGTGCTGCACTAGGAATGTTTCTTGGGGCCACAAGTTTGGACCTTAAAAATTTTGTTTGTATAAGGTCGGCTGCATTTTTCTTCATATAAAGTCCTACCTGGGCTGTATATAAAATTTGGGTGAGGATTTTGGCCTCAATTTTAAGGCTGCTGGTATTAATCCTCTTCCTTTGGAGTAGAATCTCTTGATGGAGTAGAAAAATCTCCTGTTGAAGACTTTGAGGCTCTTTGAATAATATATTTCTGATGGGCTTTCCTGAGCATGGAAGACCATTCCCAGATATTTGAAAGTGAACACCTGTTTGATATTATTTCCATTTATTATCTAACTAAATTGCTTTAGTTTCCTTGCAAATACCATCACTTTTGGATTTTTGGTAGTTTATAATCAAGTTGTTTGCTGGGTTGGGTTATGGCTTTTATGGTTATGATACTAAGTTTATTCTTTTTGCCTCCTTTCTTCCTTATAAGGCATAGCAAATCGGACAGGTAGCCTTATCAACCCAGAACCGATACAAGAAGGGTGTGCTCACACGGCACACCTTCCCTGGGACTTCCCAAGGTGTAAACAGCACTTTGAAGACTATGGGCAGTGAGAATAAGGTGCAAAGATCATTGCCTGTCCTGAGCTGCACAGACTGTGCAGTAACAAAATCACTTTATTACCATGCCATGCAGAAAGTTAGGATTTTGTGCTCCAATGTGCATCACTTTACACTTACTTAAACTAAAGCGTATTTGCCATTTGGTTGACCATTTTAAAGAGATCCTTTAAACTGAAAATTGCCAGTTTATTTCTGTTTTTAACTAGTGAGCAATCCATAAATAGTCAAGTTCTTTTATCCCATGACTGCTGTTTACTCACACTTTCTTGGTAAGCTTTGCTAAAGTCTTTTTGAAAATCCAGAGTTGATGAGGCAGGATTTACCTTTGCAGGATCCGTGCTGATTTTCCTTCCGTCTTATTTCTCTGTGTCCTTATGTTACTTTTGATTACTGTATACTCTCCTGGCTCTCTCTTTCAAAACTGGTATCACACTGGCTTCCTTTCAAGTCTCTGGTGCTGAGCCTGACTTGAGGGACAAGTTATATATTTTCGCTAAGAGGGCAACACTTTCATATCTGAGTTCTTTCAGGATTCCCAGGTACAGCCATCAGAATCAAGTCATTTGTTACTGTGTAGATTCTAAAGGTGTCCTAAAAGTCTGTGAGAAAGTCAAGTATCTGCCTTACATCTTCTGTAATAAAGACATATACAAAATAGAGAGTTTCTCTGCAAATGCTATATCATAGTTGAGTACCCCTCTCATTCCTTTGTCATCTGATGACCCAACTGATTCCACAGCTGGTTTTCTTCTTCAAATATATTTGAAGAAGTCAGTAATGTATGTATATATGTATGTATTTATTTGTAATACATTCCTCAGGTTTGGGAGGGGCTGCATTTCTTACTATCGCCTTTCACTTTTTCTGCAAGAGTTTCTGCTTCTTTTTATTCTCATTAAGACAGGTTTTCTGTTTCCTGAATGAAGATTTATTAATTTTTATAGCTTCCTGGACACTCATGGAAAACCACGCTGTCCAGATCTTAGACTTGGTTGATTCTTTCTTACGTTTTGAAATTAATTCCATTTGTGCTTTATTTATTATGGGATTTATCTATCACCCGAAACCGGAAGGACTCCAGGACTTACAGAATTTACTTATAAACACAATGTACATCATAACATTAGTCAAAATAGTAATCCAAATAAGTTACAATATAATGTTAAAAGTAGAGACTTGAATTTATTGAACACAGCACTGCTGATATAATTAATCCTTGAAGGCCTTCCCAAAGAGCCATGTTTTCACCAGGCTCTGGAAAGGCCACAGGCTGATTTTGATCAGCTGAGATTTCCCCATAAAGTAGTCATTATGAGGAAAAGGGGTTTTATTTGATAATTTATTTATTTGCTTTGATTTCTGTGACCCCGGTTTCCTATTATCTCTTTTTCCCCTTTGGATGAGAATGATAATGCCCAAAGCTACAAATCTGGGCTATATTGGTATTAGTCTATTATCTTTTGCAGATGTGGTGGAAGAAACAAGTAGTTGGTCAGCACAAGTACCTTCTGAACTCCTATATTTTTCCCTGTCTCTATAGCTATTGCTTAGAGACAAGGAGTCCTTTTCTAATGGGAAATTTAATTCCCAGAGGTCAACATTTAGAGATACATATGTTTGTAGTAACTTTATACTCTGGGTTTTGTGAAAAACCCTCACGAGGCAACTTAAATAATTTAATATAAATTAATTAAAATTAAACAGATTAATACAAGTTAAAAACAAGATATTAATATTTAAAATTTAAGAACAGTAGGAGCAAATAATTAATTAGTAAAAATTTCACCAAAAAGCAGATTGGGAAACCAAGTTTTAAAAGTCTATTAGAAGGACGGACAGACAGACACTGTGGGAGAGAGGATTGTATTCAATTTTTCCCAGTCTGGTTGGACCTCAGATATGTGGATTTCAGCTTCCAGGTTTCTAGCGTGTATGGCCAGGGAATGGGTTAAAACAATTAAGAGCCATTGTTTAAAATATGAATCTATTCAAATTGATAATTTTCTTTTGGATAACATTCTAATAAATATATTTCATATATCATTCTGATTTTGAAATAGGATAGAATGCACCTTCAATAATGTGTGTGTCATTATTAATTGCATTGTTTCCTTTTTTATGGGATAGTATAGCCAGAAGAATTAATTCCATGACCCTTAAAAACAATTTTATTGTCTTATAATATACAGAAAAAAAATGGAAAACGTAATAGGAACAAAAATAAAGAAGGGGAAGAAAGAGAAAACACATATGTAAGAAAATAACCCAGTTTTTATGCAGCAAATTAAACACTGACTGGAATATCAGAACTACAAAAATGGGAGCATGCAAGTATTTGGCAGGTCACCATGAATGACTGATGAATTACATTGGTCTTGATGGGTTATAAGTTCTGCAAATATGCCGTGATCATTTTATCAAATGTTCTGAAGACATAAAAAAGCTTGTGCACTGCTTCTAGAAAAATCCTTACATCCATGGATTTTTTTAATAATGAGGCATCATGTCTGGAGTATTGGCTGAACTCAGAATTCTGTCAAAATAATTGCAGAGGGAAGATATTACATTGCCGTAAGTTGTCTCACAGTTGTCAAGACAGTATTATATTTCTGCTTCCAAAGCAGTCCTGGTCAGAGGTGACTAAGATAGTTCTACTGTATAAAATGTGTGCTGTACACATGCTGAATTGAATTAACACTAAGCTGTTATAGTGAATGCATCATTGAAAGAACTGGCAAACCATAAGTAAAAGTGAATGATGGTAATAGGCCTCCCAAAATTAAAATTCACTCTGAGAAAATATTGTGAAATATAGTGACTGAGCTGTGTATCATATAGAAAGTCTTTTCCTGCGATTGTAAAAAAGAGTTAAGTAGTAGTATGCATTTTAATACATCAAGATCTATTATCTAATACCTATATACTTGCATTTATATAAACTTGCATTTGGTGGGTCCCAGGAGGCAGACCTTCTGTGCCACTGCAGAAATGAAACAGCTGCAAATATTTCATTGGTTCTGGTAAACTGTGCCCAGTCACCATTGGAATAGGGAATAACAGAGGATATAATATTCTTATTTTCATAGCAAAGGATTGGTTGTGCACATTCTCTGAAGTCCACAATCAGTGACTGACAAACGTCCAAGGTATGAAGGGAAGATAGGAAAGAAATACCATTTTCAAGAGAAATGATATGTCCATTCTTAGGAGCAACTAAGACTGTCCCTGTGCTTGAGTAAGAACCAAAGGGCAGAACTTCTCACAAACAACATTGTGTTAGAAAAGCAATTTTCCAAGAAATAAGCAAAAGTGGGCAAGTTGTGAACATTTCAAAATGTAGCTTATTTGTGGGAAAAAAAGAGACTCCAAGAGGACATTAATATGGGACAGACCACATTGAGGTTGTTAACATTGTTAAGTAAATAAA